GTGAGTCCAGATCCAGAAACAGATGGAAACTGAATAATTAGCTTGATCTCCTCCAGGCTTCTCCGTTCTGTGCTTAATGGTGTTTGGATCTCGTTCAGCTGAGTGTCAGATCCAATCAGAACTGACTGGTCTCGACCCTAATCCTCCCCAGGAGGCCACTGGACACCAATACAAACATTAAACTGGTGCCCAGTTTGTCACTTTCACTCCCCAGTGTGTTATCCGTTTAGCCGGCCGTGAAGTTGGCTGCCTTGAGTCTTTCTGTTCACTGGGTCATTGTGGGTCGACATACAACCTGTGACTCGATTCGGTTCTGAGCTGGTCCAGAACTGAACGGGGAAGTCAGAGAGAAGTGGTCAGTCGCTGTTTACCCACTCAGTCGGTAGGTTGGTCAACAAACAGCCGATTAATCGGCTCCAAGTGAGTTTTGTAAGAGGCTTGTGACTCGGTCACAAGCCTGAAACTAAACAGCCAGGAGGCAAAAGGCTGGGGAAAGGACGTTTCCAGCAGTGGTTCCCACCCTGGTTCTCTGGAAACCCATCCTGTTAACAACCATTCATTTAGTCCAGGTGTGTGGCAGCCAGGAGAACCTAAGACATGAAGTACAGTTGGTCCTGGGGACCAGGGCTGGCAACCACTTCTTCAGAGGAGAAGGTCTGGTCTTCGGAGGGTTTTCAGGAGTAGATCAGAGGGTTGGAGAGTCTAGAGGAGGACGTTTGCCCTTTGGGGGTCTAGAGGAGTAGGTCTGATGGTTGGGATGGACTTTGGGATGTGTAGGAGTAGGTCTGGCAGTTGGGTGAGGTCTAGAGGAGTACGTTTGGTGGTTGGGTTGATATTTGGGGTGCAGGTCAGATCTTTAGGGTATCCAGTCCTACCTGAACAGTTCAGTTGGGTCCCAGCAACATCCCACAGAGCCGCGGTAAGGAAAGACTTTCAGAATGTGAGCGCAGTGGGAGGATTACAGAGCTAACAGGATTACAGAGCAGCTGAAGGACAGAACCGACAGAGCAGGGGCTCAGATTACACCTTAAGAGGCCAGGAACAGGGCACATCGCCCAGAGCTGGAGCCCCATCCAGAGAACAACAGAGTTCAGTTAAAATCAGACAGGTGTCAAATCGGTTTGCTACCCATTCAAAAACTTCAAACACTATAAATTCTCTACAGTTTCTGACCCAGTTTCTAAAGTCTGAGTGACTCTGGAGAGGTAGGAGATTCCTTCTCTAAGACTCTGTCCTTCAGGCTGGAAACCATCCTGCCTGATAGATAGTTGCATCTATCAATAATTAAACAGAGTTTAGATTCAGATGATGCAATGAAGGTCTGGACCTGCTGGTTCTCCAGCCAGAACCTGGCCTCGGCTCTCAGAAACAAGGTTGGACTTTTGTAATTTGTTCATTTAATGATGAATCTTCTTCAGACCGTCTGTGGAGTACCACAGGGCAGTGTGCTCAGACCAGTTCTCTAATCTGCCTCCAATTGGTAAAATGACCAGGCAGCAGGGGATAAACGTTCAGTGTTATGCTGATGATGTTCAGTTGCATCTATCCATAAACCTGGTGAATCTAATCCAGCAGGTGAACCTGGATGACTCCAAACCTTCTGCTTTTAAATTCTGATAAAACAGAAGTTGTTGTTTTAGGACCAGATCCTCCCGTCTCAAACACGGTTTCACTCTAAAACTTGCCGTACGAACAAATTTAGAAAAGTGCAGCTGCTGCTCCGCCGTCGCCTCCCAAAAACATCTTAATGAGTATAAATACCCGGAGGTCTTATGGATCTAAATGTCTAAACGTTTATCCTGAACACAGGAAGCAGAGCAGAAGGTACATTTACAGGGTAGAGATGCTTTCTGTCCACAAGGCGGGCCAGCTGGACCGGAACCGGTACCTGCTTCAAGTTCTGCTCACAGCTCCAGGATGATCAGTCTGGATTCATATAAATAAACCAGCAGATCAATACGATCTCTGATCAATGGCTCCATGTTCTCCATCAGAGCCACAGATCCTCAGGTAGCAGCTCACCTTGATGCAGCTACTGATGCAGCTACTGATGCAGCTGCTGATGTAGCTGCTGATGTAGCTACTGATGCAGCTACTGATGCAGCTGCTGATGCAGCTACTGATGCAGCTGCTGATGCAGCTACTGATGCAGCTACTGATGCAGCTGCTGATGCAGCTACTGATGCAGCTGCTGATGCAGCTACTGATGCAGCTACTGATGCAGCTACTGATGCAGCTACTGATGCAGCTACTGATGCAGCTCACCTTGATGCAGCTACTGATGCAGCTACTGATGCAGCTACTGATGCAGCTGCTGATGCAGCTACTGATGCAGCTGCATCATAACAGCTGTAAAGCTCTATAGTTTCTCTTCAGTGAGAATAAATGAGCCATGGATTCATTCAGACGAATCGTTTCGTCTGAATGAGACAAACTGAGCTCAATTATTCATATTTTGAAGTTTTCACATTTTTTATTTCTATTTTCTTTATTTTGTTAGTTTATTGTCTGAGGATAAATCGGTTCAGTTTCATCGTTTAAACACTAAATGAAATCATGAAAAACATCTGGTTTGATGCTTCCTGGTCTCAATAACTGGATGAGGTCAGAGTTCAGTGGATGCAGGTTGTAGTTGGTCATCATGCCTCGTTCACTTTGATACATGTTGACTTGTGTTGTTGCTGCTTTATTCATGACATCCTGAACCGGTGAAAAGATCCTGCTCAGTCAATCACTGACAATAAATTATCGTCTGATCACTACAGATAAGGAAAATAATAACTGGCTCAGGCTTTTGCCTCCCATCCTTCAACAATGGCAAGAAAGACTGAAGAATCTGTCTATAATGGAAGACAACAGCAGAACCACATGGACGTCTTTCTGAGCAAACAGATAGAGATGCTGTTAGTCTCCTGTGTTTGACGTTTCTAAGACATGTTAATTGCCAAAATGGATATAAACATTTGCTGAGTTTTTCTTCTTTCTCTCTCTTTACTGTTGCATTATGTAAGTTCAAATAGAAATATGCATTCGATTCATAATATTTCTAAATAAAGAATGTTAAAAAAATCATCGTCCAATCAGAAAGTTAGGAATCTCTTATTTGAAGTCCCAGACTCAGAAGGTTTGTGGGTTTTCGTATCCCTCCGATTGGAACTGGTTGTTTGTTTCCTCATCCTGTTTGCAGCTCTGAGCTGCAGGATGATATCCGTGTCTCCACACTAAAGCTGTTAATGTGGCCCTGACCAGGATTAGCTGCTAACCAGGCTAAGCTCAGCGTCAGCAGAACGTGGGATTGGCGCCTCCTGACCCCGATCGGCTCCACGCAGCTGCTGCAGGACTCCTAGCCCCCTGCTGAGCATGCAGGCCACTGCTGCAGGGTCAGAGGTCACAGAGTGGCACGAGCCGCTGCCGCCCTCTGCTGGACGCAAATAGGATGAACCTGTTCATGCTGCTGTTCCATCATGAAGGATGCAGAATCGTTCATGAACTGAAGTTCCCAAACATTTTGGCACAAGCGTAACAAGCTACATATCCAATAATTCAACATAAAGTAATCAAATGTATTGGAAAAGGATCATGGATTCCAAACAAACAGGGATTTGCAGCTTTGCCCCACTAGCAGAAATGTTGGCACTTCTTAAGAAAGTGATTGGAAAAAATGAACAAAATGTTGATTCTGAAAATCAGGATTTAGTTCAACTGTTTGAAAATGTTCAAGTTTTATCATTTTAACCAGAAACAGGGTTGGGAGCAAAATCGTCTGTGGACAGAAGTGAGGAACCAGGACTGGATTCTCGCCCGGCAGCTCCACCTGCGACACACCTGGAGGCGTTACCATGGAAACAGGCAACACCAAGCGCCGCTGCTGTGTGACAGAGGGAATGTTTGAACATTCATAACCCTTGAACTTTGCTCCTTCAGCCGCCGCCCTGCGTCAGTGACATCACCTCCTGCTGTGACTCACCTGAGGCTGGATCACCTGGTGAGCCTCCGATGGAGATCAGAGCGGCTGCTGCTCTCTGCCAGGAGGAACACCTGGTCGCCGCGGAGACCCGGTCGCCGCGGAGACCCGGTCGCCGCGGAGACCCGGTCGCCATGTCCACCAGAGGACGGTCCATCGGGGAACTGATGGAAACTCAGAATCGGTTAAACCTTCAGGTGTTTTCCTGCAGCGCTGATCAAACATCCAGTCAAAGTTCACAGAAACTTCCACACTGCAGGAAACCCACTCCCACTGCAGCTGTAGCAGTCAGTGTTCAGGCGTTTTGTTTTCCTAGATCCTTCAGAGTTGTGGCGTCTGAAACGTACAGAAAGCAGATCCAGGTGTGTGTGTGTGTGTGTGTGTGTGTGTGTGTGTATAAAATTAAATCTCTATTTCAAACCAAACCAGCAACGAAAAGAACAAATGTTGACTTTCCCTCTGTTTTTACTCAGACTTACAGATCAGATCCTACAGGAAGTTTGATTTGCTGCACCAGAAGTAAAATGTCTTCAAGTGTTTGGTTTTGATCATTACAACATCTAGAACATTTATATTTTTAAATGTTATAAAAGTTATACAATGCTGAGGATACTTCATTTGTCACTGCATCTTAATAAACTCAAGTTCTCCTACCTGGTTCCACGTTTTTCTGTCTGGGTCTTCCAGGGTTGGAACCGGCCAATCAGAGGAGAAACTCCCAAACAACCCCAGCCAATCAAGAGCCAGCGTTTCCTCTGACCCGTCGGAACCTCAGAGAGCAATTGCTGTTGATGCTGATGTGGAAAAGTCTGCTCACTGAGTCATGCAGCCTGAGTGTGTGTGTGTGTGTGTGTGTGTGTGTGTGTGTGTGTGTGTGTGTGTGTGTGTGTGTGGCTGGGTGTGTGTGTGTGTGTGTGTGTGTGTGTGGTGTGTGTGTGTGTGTGTGTGTGTGGCTGGGTGGGTGGCTGGGTGTGTGTGTGTGTGTGGGTGGGTGTGTGTGTGTGTGTCTGTGAGTGTGTGTGTGTGAGTCAGCTGGTCTATAAACACACACCCTGCCCAGTCCTGGACCATAACGGAGCTGCTGCGAGTCTGAAGGTAAGAACTCGTCTCTTCACGTCGTTTCGGGTTTTAAATTTCGGTCTGAAGGAACCAGACTTTCCTTCTGAAGCTCGGCTGCAGAGAGAAACGGCTTTATGAACTTGTTGACTTTTAACTCTGAAAATCTAAGCTTCTGCTGAAAACCTTCAAAATAAGAGCGTGAGCCATGTCTTCTCACCAAGGATCTGAAGCTAAATGAATCCATCTCTCTTATTACCTCATGCATCAGAGGCTGACAGAGAGGAAACTCCTGAAGTGTGCGCCTCCAGCCCGTGAACTCTGACCTCACCATGCGTCCAGATAAAGACAGCAGTTAAAAATGTGGACTGGCTTTAACAGCCTGGTTACTAAGTGATGAAGTTTGTAGTTACCTGGTCAAAGGTAAATGAAGCTTCTAATGCGGACATAATGAGGCTTCAACGCTGCTCAGATCGCCGACGACGCTGCCGTTACGCAACTAGCCGCACATTCCTGCAGCTCTGAGTGCATCTCCTTATCTGCAGACGCACCTTCAGGAAGGCCCAGCCGGTCAATAAATCAAACACACCTCGCTGGTTCAGGGTTCGCTGGCCGGACTCTGGAACCGACTGTTCTCCCGTCTCAGATTAATCTGATTCCTCTGGAAGAGCACAATGAGCCAGACTTCCTCCTCATCATCTCCTCCATCACGAGTTTTCATTTAAACATAACATGGAAAATGTGCAAAATATGACCAGGAAAAGTAAGTACAAACATCTGACCAACTTCAGTGAACCAAAACCACTAGTGATGGATCCGGAAACACTGATGCGCCAAACCCGCAGACCAAACCGGCAGACCAAACCGGCAGACCGAACCCGGCAGACCGAAACCCGCAGACTGAACCCCGCATCGAAACGCGTTGCTTTCAATGAGTCACATGACGATACAGGAAGTGTCTGGAAATGACACTGAGGCGCCAAACTGTTTTATAAGGAAGCAAATCTGTAACAGGATGCATTTGCCAAAAGGATTCTTGATCTTTTACAGCGTCAATATGGAGCCTCAAGGCAAACGAAAGGTTTGGTGGTTTGGGACCATTTTGAAATAAGCTCTTGGTTTTCACTTGGTTGTTTCATCCGGTTCTTTCCCGTTTCTGCAGGATCTATCTGAATCCAAATTCAGCTGAAATTGACTCTTTGTTTATATTCATATCATGTCCTGCAGGTTAAGCTGCATATGTTTGACAGAACTGTTGATTTAATAAATCCACCTCCTCAGTGCTGAGGCATCATAGAGCATCAGGAGGAATCCCAGATACACCTGGATAAACTCAGGTATTCTGCAAATTACTCTGTTGCTTCTTATAAATTATTTCATATAAATGTGTTGTTTACTTAATTTTTTTCTGCAGCTTTTATGACAAGTTGTGTCATAAAAGCGTAACAGACAAATTTCAAAATGTCCTCATTCCAAACATTTTCACTTAAATTTTCACTTTATGATCCATGTTCACATGAACCATAAAGTTATGAAAAATCATAACTGGAGGTGGTTTGAGTTGCTCAAAGCTTTCCAGCAAATCCAACTTCAGAAACTATTCCTGCTGATTTTTATGACTGGAATGTCAGAATTTCCCAGTTTCCCAGCTAAAGCTGGAAAACATCTAAAGGTCGGGGAAATATCAACGGAACATCAAGTGGCTACGGTGGAGACCGGTCCGAGGTCCAAAACACAGAACCAGAGAAAATCTGGTGGAAGGAAAATAAATGAAGATCAGAAAGTAGAAAACTGAACATGAAATGAACTTTCTGACAGAAAACAGGCAGACAACAAGAAGTATGAGGCTTACCAAAATAAAACAGGAAACTAAAAGCTATGACTCAAAGTTTGAGACTTTGCAAAAAAAGTCCAACATGTGAGGACACAGCGTCCCCCAGGAAGGACTCCGTCTCTGGGTCAGGACGCGAGTCCAGAGCCGCTGGGTTCTGCCGACACGAAGTTCTTCTGCTAATGAGTACCTGTTGTGTCCTGCAGGTGGATCCATCATGGCACTGGTGTCGGAGTTCCTGGGTCAGCTGACCTTGTCTTATGGGGGGGTGAGTCTCATGGTCCAGCAGGGGGCGTCCTACTCCATCACTCTGCAATTATTAATCATTGGTGACCATTTCTGTTTATCAGACACCTTAACAACGAATGATAATGAATTCTGATTTTATCATTGATAAAAACTGAAACTTAAATAAAATGTGAACGAGACAGGGAGTTTAAAATGGTCTCTAACAAAAACAAACATTAATGCAAAATCAGAAAGGAAAAACTAAACAGATCCAATAAACACAAGCATAACTGATGCTCCACTTGCTGACAAAGACATCAATATTCATTGTTATCTCAAAAAACTAAAACTCCAGACGAATTTGAGTAACTTCCAGTCTGGAATAAAACACAAGCATCATCTGTTTGATAACCATAACTGGTTCTGACCAGTTATGGTTATCACTGGTAATACAACCATATTGCCAGTTTTGCAGACTAAGAAATAAAATTTAAAAGAACGTGAATAAATTTCTTTCTTGTACAAAACCATGGAGCATAAATAAAAATATAGTTAGAAAACTGTTCAGCAAACCCACCAAACAAATGACTTGAAAGAGCAAAAAGAGGATTCAGTCTTGAACATCCAGTAACTAAATGAGACAAAGTTTCATCCTGAGAACAATAACAACAGGAAACACTAAAGCCAGGATGAAGGTGTGCCTTCACATTAGCTCCAGTTTTCCCAGAACCTTTGGGAACATTAGCTCCAGTTTTCCCAGAACCTTTGGGAACATTAGCTCCAGTTTTCCCAGAACCTTTGGGAACATTAGCTCCAGTTTTCCCAGTCTCCTCCCATACAGGGTGTTCATTCAGATCACGCTTCGCTCCCGCCATCAGAGCTGTCGCCGATGGAGGAGAGACCCCGCCCTCCAACCGTCGGCGACCCCTCTGCACTTTGACTCACCTCCACCTGCGTTTCTGGATTTTTGAGCCGTCGAGAATCCCATTAATGTCCAACATCCCCACACTAAAAACGTTTTATGTTCCCAGCGTGAGCCATGTGAGGTCCTCTGAGAGAAAGAGAGAGAGGTTTGGGTTGGTCAGTGAACAGGTTGTGGTCAGGTCAGAGGCATGGAGGTGGAAGCATTATGCTCAGGGCTGAAAGTCTGTCTATGGGAAGGGCCATGGCTTCACATCTGAGGGGGCGTGACCCACCTGTACAGGTACATCCAGTCAGAGCAGCGTTTTCTACTAAATCAGACAGGAAAGACAGAAGACCTGCAGAAAGCACAGGTACCGGTCCGGTCCGGTCCGACTCCTCTGAATGCAGCAGCTGCTGCCTATTACAGTCCAGCTGAGACTCGGTTCTGACCCGTTTTAACTCAGGAAGTGTCTGCAGCTGGTTCCATCCCACCGGGTGGTTCTGAAGGTTTCCAGACCTACTCCAGAACCCGATTCAGGTTCTGAAGGTTCTGATTCCTCTGTCTGCAGGAGGAAGAGCCCAAATTCCCCACCGTGGTTCCGGTCCGAGACTTTGACCCGGACCGGGACGCTGCCCGGATAGAGACGGCCATCAAGACCAAAGGTGAGAGTTCAGATCCCGACGAACCCAGGAGCCAGGCAGCAGGAGCCAGTCTGACCTCTGACCTTTCCTCCCAGGCGTGGATGAACAGACCATCATCGACATCCTGACCCGGCGGAGCGCCGAGCAGCGCCGAGAGATCGCCTTCGAGTATGAGCGCATCGCCAAGAAGGTCAGAACCCGGTTCCTCCGGTCCAGTTCTGTAGAACAGAACCATGGTGGCTGTGGACCGAGCCTCGGAGGAAACGGCCTTTAATGATCCACGTCAGATAGATGTTACAGCTTGATTTCATTGGTTTTATTCGCTCTGTGAGAAACTCAAAGCATGGCGGAAAATAAATGGTGGAAACATTTCTGAGACGGAACCATGGAGCCGGAAAGCGAAGAGTGTTAAATTTAAGACTTTAAAAGAGAAATGGAGCCATTACTGTAGGATTAACATCCAGCCGAAAATGATCATCAACGGAATAAAGATGAAACGTCGTGCTGTCAGTAAGTCCTCATGTTCAAATTCAATCATCAATTTAGATCAACTAACCGGTAAACATAATATTCTGATAAATAACTAAACCAGCATCCTAACGTCTGTATTTCATAGGAAAACTTGTTCATTTAACTGCGCAGTTCCGTTCAAAAGGGCTACTTCCGGTTAGCATAGCCGCCTCAAATGAGTCAGACATCCTGTAAATAGAAATAAATCCTGTTGGCAACAGATTCAAGCGCTCATATTTTCAAGTCACTCAGACTTCATGTTGTCCAGGAGCAGCTAAATTATAAAGATTCAATTAGACTCCAAATCTGAAAACAGCCTTTAAAGCATGGAGTGACGATAACAGCATCACAAAACTGATTTAAACAGGTAAACTAAGTCAAATATAGCTATAAGTGAACATCATAGCAAGCTTACCGCTCAGTAAAGCCATGGTTCGATGCTTGAAGAGATTTTGAACAGCAATCGGTGCTTATTCAGCAAAGGCCCTGATTGGTCTTTGAGCCGTGACGACCAATCAGGGAAGGACTTACTGATCATGTGAAGTTGCTCATGTCTCCCCCTGGTGGTTGCGGAAGGAACTGAAAATGTCAGCATGAACGTGTCTCGTGTGCAGGACCTGAGTGTGGCCCTGAAGGGGGCGCTGTCCGGCGCTCTGGAGGCTCTGCTGCTGGGTCTGATGAAGACCACCGCCCAGTATGACGCCTCGGAGCTCAAAGCCTCCATGAAGGTCAGAGCTGACTGCCAGCAGCGGCAGCGCCGCCTGCTGGTCACTGCAGGAAGCTCAGCCTGGTGCAGAAGGCTCTCCAGCCTGACCCGGTTCTGTTGGTTCTGGTTGTGTGCAGGGCCTGGGGACCGACGAGGAGACGCTGATCGAACTGGTCTGCTCCAGGAACAACGGAGAGCTGGCGGAGATCAAGAAGGCTTACAGAGAGTGAGTGACAGAGCCGGACATGAAGAAGGTTCCTGGACTGCCAGAACCTTCTGGACCAGGTTCTGATCGGTTTTGCCGTTCAGTCCTCTTTATTTGGTCTCTGCAGTGTTTAAGAAGGAGCTGGAGAAGGACATCTCAGGAGACACATCGGGAAATTTTGCCAAGCTGTTACTGGCTTTGGTCCAGGTACCACAGAACCAGAACCGGGTCTCTGCAGACCTGACTGGACCAAAATGCACTGGACTGGACCAGACTGAGTAGAATACTCTGATCTTTTTCAAGTCAGCTGGAAGACCAGACTGTTGGTTCTGATCCGGTTACTGTAAACCAGCAGAACCTGTACCAAGTACTGAGATTAGTTACCATGACAACGCAGGTGATACACACCCCGGTGTCATGGCGATGTCACCGGGTGTCATGGCGATGTCACCGGGTGTCATGGCGATGTCACCCGGTGTCATGGCGATGTCACCCTGGTGTCATGGCGATGTCTGGGTTCAGACAGTTTTGCCAGTTATGCTTCAATAATTGGCAAAACTTTCTCCATCTGAACAGAAACTGAGAGGATCCTGACCTCAGCTTTAGAGGTCAGGATGACCTTTGACCCGAACCTTCAGAGCGGTATAAAATTCCACAGTGGGCCTTCTGGCAGCTGCAGAACATTTCCAGGGCCAGAGACTAAAGTCTCAGATCAGAGAAACTCATCCAGGCTTTGACTCCTGCAGCAGGTCGGACTGACAAACCGACGGTCCAGAGCTGCTGCAGTTCTGACCAGAACCAGGAGGACAGAGAACTTTGACCTTTCTTCTGGCTGAAATGTCCCCAGAACGAGTGAATCTCTGAATGTTTCCTCCAGACCAAAAGAGACGAGCCGAGCAACGTGGTGGACTACCAGAAGATTGACGACGACGCCAGAGTGAGTACGCTTCGGAACCGCCGGGCTCCTCTGCGGGTCAGAACTTGTTAGTTCTGGTGCCCGACTACCCATGTTGTCTTTTTATTCTTCTCTCCAAGTCCGACTCGTTTGGACTCTGGGTCCGGCTCATTCCGGACTTTTGTTCTGACTCGAGCTCCAAGTCATTATCATAATTTCTGTTGTTCATTTAAAAAGCGACTCAGCTCATATTGTTTAGGTTCTGACGGGCCGGGCTTGGTGTTCTGACCCGGTTTTCCTGCGGTTCTGTGCTCAGGCTCTGTACGAGGCCGGGGTGAAGAGGAAGGGGACGGACGTGGGCTGCTGGATCTCCATCATGTCCGAGAGGAGCATCCCTCACCTGCAGAAAGGTACCGATGAGTTCACAGTCAGAGTGAAGAGTTCTGGCCCGGTTGGGCCCGCTGCAGGTCCGGGCCGGTCCTGTTGGGTCACCGTGGTAACTGTCCTCCCTCCTGCGTGCCAGTGTTTTGAGCGCTATAAGAGCTACAGTCCGTACGACATGAAGGAGAGCATCAGGAAGGAGGTGAAGGGAGAACTGGAGAAGTCCTTCCTCACTCTGGGTACATTCCATCCTCAGGTCCAATCAGAACCCTCCCGAACCAGAACCCTCCAGAACCAGAACCCTCCAGAACCTCCTAACTGACTCTGCTTTCCTTTCAGTGGAGTGTTTCGAGAACCGGCAGCTGTACTTTGCCAACAAACTCTATGAAGCCATGAAGGTAACCAGAACCACCGGGTGCCTCTGGTTGGTTTCTGGGCCCTGGTTCTGATCCGTGGTGGGGTTTTGACCCGCTGTCTGTCCCTTCAGAGTAAAGGAGCTAAGGAGAAGGTGGTGACCCGGATCCTGGTGTCTCGCTGCGAAGTGGACCTGATGAGGATCAGAACCGAGTTCAAGAGGCAGCACAAGAAGTCTCTGTACCAGACCATCGCTGTGAGTCACTGCAGTGTCCCACGCTGGCCGAGACCCTGAACGCACCACCAGCTTCAGGGTCTGACCCCCAAACCAGCGCCAGGAAAACAGGCTGCATCTGTTTCCACTGTAACGGATATCGGATCTGCATGTCGGACCACAGGAAGCAGTAACTCTGCTCTCTGGTTCAGATCTGTGTCGGTTCTGATCCGTTCAAGCCTCAGGAAAACGGTTCTTCTGTTTTCATCTTTATGAAACCTAAAAATGACTAAATTGATTACGCTTTTTCACTCCCAGAGTTCCCAGTGGCCACAGTGTGATGACTCCCAGCAGATTCAATCCCATGTGGATGAAATCTGGATGCTGGTTCTGATTCTGACTGAGACCCGGTTCTGTTGCAGGAACACACCAAAGGAGACTACCAGAAGGCTCTGCTGAGTCTGTGTGGAGGAGACGACTGAAAGGACCGCGTTTCCCAGCAGGCACCGGGGCGCAGCCGCTCATCTGAACTGTTGACCTTGATTAGGTTTCTGCAATAAAAAAGTGTGAAAAGCTGTTGAGGAGAGTCTGGTTTCTGACCGGCAGGGGGCAGCAGAGGCACAGCAGGCAGGCATACCTGAAACCAACATCTTTGTTTTTATTCTGACATTTTAATGTTTAAATTTAGGATAAACTATAAACGTTGGAACCATCTGATGCAGAAAACAGCAAGTCAGACAAACATTTAACAGTTAGAAATCTTTTTCTCTTCAGTATTAATCTAGAAAACAACAGACTGATTTTCCAAACTCATGTTTTCACCTGATAGTGACGAATATCACAGCTAACTGCTTCTACACTAAGTATTTAGGTTACATATGTGCAACTAGACATATCCAAGTATTTCGATGAAGCTGAATATTTAGCATGCTAAAAGTTTAGCTTGCTAACTAAATGTTTAGTTTATCTCTAAATATGGAGCTTATACTTAATAAATACACCAAATTATTGATGTTAATGTTTGATAAAAACCCAGAATCCTCTCGGAACCGGGAGTCCTGCAGGTGGTGGCAGGAGTTGGATGTGGGCCCGCCCAGACCGCGCCCCCTTCAGGAGGGATAAGGAAACGCACCACCTGATGCAGCGCTTCTGTCTCGCAGCTCAAGCAGCTCCAGACCGGCAGTGACCCGGTCGGTGCCGAGGCGGCCCGCGGTCGGCTCCACGACCAGCAGAAGCAGGAAACTCAACAAATATTTCCCGCTGGAAGCTGCAGCGAGTTGAATCATCTTTCCTGTGAAGTTTGTGCGCAGCGCCGCTTGTGCGCAGCGCCGCTTGTGCAGCTTTGAAGCTGGGATTCACGGCCGCCGACTGAGCCGCCGCGTCTCATGTTCGTTCCGGGAGCATCCGGAGCTTCCGCAGCTGCATCCGGCTTTCATGTGTGTCAGCCTCGGCGGTGACGGAGCGGCTGACAGAGATGGAGGAGTCGCTGCCTGCAGGGCTGAGTGACGGCCGTCTGCGCTAATGCAGCCTGACGGGCTCCTGATGGCGGCGCGTCGCTACAGAACCTAAAAGAGCTGCGGCCTTTGATTCCCGCTCCTCATCCTGACAGCTCCGCTCCGCAGCCTCTTGCCTCTTTTGTGGGAAGTTTTGCAACAATTAGCATAAATGTTTCATGTCCCGCCGCCCCGCGCCGCCCCTCCGCCCCGCGCCGCCCCGCCGCCCCGCGCCGCCCCTCCGCCCCGCGCCGCCCCGCCGCCCCTCCGCCCCGCGCCGCCCGCGCCGCCCCGCGCCGCACACCGGGATTCGGCTTTGGAAAGCGGCGCGGCGCGGCGCAGCCAAACATATGTTCCCTTTGTGGAATCTTTTATTGAACATATTTGGGAGCAAAGAGTGCGGCGTTTGGTTCAGAGACTGTAAATCTCCGCACTTGTTCCCATTATTTATTTCACAGCAACTTATTTACATTTCAGATGGCGCGGTTTCCGCGGCAACGCAGCTCCCTGCTGACGCACCAACTTTCAGTCGAGCAGAAAAGTCAGCAGCAACTTTTCCTTCTGCAGCGCGACGCTTCATCTGTCCGAACCGATTCCGGTTCAAAACCCAAATAACTAACAAACATGGAGACCGACTAACCGCTGCTGTCTGGAACAAAAGCGATTTGTTCATCTGTGATAAAAAAATTAAATAAAATGTTGGAGGAAACAGGAGGAACTGGATCCTGAGAATCAGGTCAGGATTCTGGGCGCCAGAGCAAATATTCATATTAAAACCAATATTTTCCCACCAAGCAAAATATTTAGCTAAATTAATTCATAATTTATTGCCAAGACACTCAGTGAGGCTAAAGATATAATGTGAAATATTTTGTTTACAAACTAAAACTTACTAAACTTAATTTCCAAATAAAATTTTATCTCCAAATAATATTAAGCTTGAAACTGAATATTTAGCTTCAAATGATATAAAATGTTTTATTTGTGAATGAATGAAAAAATGAATCTTTTTCTGGCTGAATAAAACAAATGATTGCCTTTACAAACGGCTCCAACAGAACCCGGTCCGGACCGGAGCAGAACCCGGTCCGGACCGGAGCAGAACCCGGTCCGGACCGGAGCAGAACCCGGTCCGGACCGGAGCAGAACCCGGTCCGGACCGGAGCAGAACCCGGTCCGGACCGGAGGCTCTTGGATCGTTGGTCTCATTAAACATGTTAACACGGCGCCACACCTGCAGGTGCTAAAAGGTGAGCGCAGGCTCCGCCCACCTCCAGGTGCCGCTTCAGCAGAGGAATTTATGATCCGAATCGTTCAGAACGTTCTTCTTACAGCCGGCTCCCCTGGACGGGTCCATCAGAACCAGAATAAACTCTGTTGCCGATGGACCTGGTTCTGGTTCTGGAGGCTCTGCTGGTTCTTGTTTGGATCGGAACTCGTGTTTGTTACGTCACCAGGCTGGAAAAACATCCAAGAACAAACCAGAATTTTCTGACAATTGAATTTATTAAATGATACAAAAATAAAACCAAAATGAGAAAATAAAATAGATCAATGTGAAACCCGAACACACAAACCGAACCGAACGGGGTTCGGGGGGAAAAATCTCCTGTCTGTTGCAATCAGGGCAGGAGGACAGAACCAGAACCAGAACCAGAACCAGAACCCTGCAGCCGCAACACTCTGGATCTCAGAATAATCCGACAGAACCGAATTTCACTTTTCAGCAGGAAATCCAGAACTGCGTGTCAGAACAGAACCGGGTTCGGTCCGTATCCGGTCGGGAAGATCCGGCATGTAGGAACTCTGATGTTTCAGAGGTCTAGAGAGGGAGTTCGGTTCCTGGACGGGAAGGCCCGGTTCGCTCTGCGAGATGCTCTCTTGGTTCTGATCCAGACCGGATCGATCGATTGATTGATTTATTGATTGATTGATCAGATCATATTAAGAGAAACCATCGATCCAGGGCGGCTGCAGGTGGAGGAGCCCAGCTTGTCCTGCTGCAGGAACAGGGAGAGTGACGTCACGGTTCCATAAGAGAAGCGTGACGTCACCGAGCCTCCGCTGGGTGACGTCATGCTAACATGATCATTACAGGATAATAAGGAGCAGGAACAGGTTTTACCTTCGGTTGCTTTGCTAAAGATGGATGTAGATGGAGCAGGGACCAGCTGGGAACGCTGGGAACGTCGGGAACGTCGGGAACGCTGGGAACGTCGGGAACTCCATGAGCTTCAGGAACGTCTCCAGTTTCCTCCTGAAGGTAAAACTGAGCCTTCAGAGTGATGACCTCCATTCATTATGACCCGCTTGAGTTTCATTTAGTGCCAGATCCGACAATTAACGGGAGCAGCTGAGGAGGGGGGAAGGGGCGGGGGGTAGACAGGAGGGGGAGGGGGTAGACGGGGGGGAGCGGGACGCCCAGAGGTCGCCCTCCCTCCACCTTCAGTGATAAATTAACTTCCTTAACCAGCCTTCCTCTCTTCCTCCTGAATGTTTCTGTCATTTCCGGTCTTCCTTCTCTCCTGATGTCTCAAAGTGTCTACGTCCATCAGCGGTTTGTCCAGGTGAGTCTGATGGACGCTGCGCACGCGGAAGCCCTGCGCGTGCGCGGCGTCCTGAGCTAAACACATATTAGCTTTGGGATCCGGACGCGGCGCGTCGGGCCGCCGCATCGCTCATCCTGCGGGGGACAAACACAATTACAGAGAAACTCCTGACCTCTGCATCTCCCTCCATTTAAATGTTTGATGTCTCATTGAATTAGTATCACAGTGTGAAAGACAAAGCTAATGGAAATGAGCCAGAGACAGCGCGCTCTGCTGATTGGGCCGATATAATTAGAATAATATCACGTCCGGCGTTAATAAGAAGGAAAGGAAATAAATAACCGGCCGTCCGTTAATAGCTGAAATGTGCCGAGGCCAGCGCTTCTCCTGTTTGCTCATGGGCCGCTGATGCGTCGCAGCGATCCTCCGCTTCTCCCTCCTGATTATTCATCGTGATAAATACATAAGGACGGACTAAATTATGGCTGTTTTTCAGCCGCCGCGGCTCCCTGAGAATTAGTTCCGCTGATGGATGGGACAAGCCACCGCAGTCTTTGGCTTTTCTCCACAAATATTCATTTTCCCGTTGACAGCCGTGAAGATGTGCTTCTCTTCTTTCACGGCTCTAATTGTTTTTCCTCCGGTGGACATTATTATTTGTCATTTTTAGGAAATTACCAGGAAACGAAGCTGCGGAGAGGGAACTCAGATGATGCAGCTTTAAGAGAATTTAAAGGTCATAAATTCATATTAACTCTATATTTCATCCTCACAAAAGCCTCAATAATTTATTCAAACGCTATTATATGCAGAACAATTAATTGTTATCTGGATTCAGTTTATATCTTTGGTTTATTTAGAACTTTTAAAGGTCCAGCCGTCGGGAATTGCTGCCATCTAGTGGTGGCTGACAAAATGAAACGAGTCAGTTTGTATTGAAGGCGGAAGTGAGAAATCCTTTCATCCATCATCACTGGACATGTAACCATGGAGGCGGTACCAGACCAGCAGTGAGAGAGACAAAACACGTTAAAGTCCAAAAGATCCTGCAGAAGCTTCGTGTCATTGTTACCTATTATAATCAGTTATTATTATTCTTGTTATCATTATTATAACGGGAATAAAAAATATCAAGTTCATTTCTGTAATTAATCTAATTTTAATCTAAAAGTCTAAAGTGTCAGATTTCCGGTGTTAGTTTTATTCCAGAGTTAAACTTAAGCAGCTGTCTGAAACTGACGTCAGACAGAGAGAATCCCTGTGACTGTGACATCACAGGTTTTGCCAAGGAGAGGGCAGCAATATGGCGTCTTGTCTGGAGATGACAAGGGAAGCTCCATGTTAACATTATTATGTTTTTGATTAATTTTTATGGACACATTAATTTTCTGTTTGCGTATCGATTCATGTACATAGTTTGCTTAATGTCAGTTTATTTGTCATACAATGTCTAGTATTTCTGTTAGCAGCTAAAGCTAGCCAAGCAGGTGTAGCAGGAGGTGTTGGGTTCAAAACCAAACATTGAAACTGTCA